ACAGTCAGAAACTGGAAACATTCATAACAGCTATCAATGTAGAATGGATTTTTTTAATGTAGCGTATTTACAGTAAAGGGCAATGAACAGAAACCAATACTATGCAGGACAAAGTAGATGAAACTGAGACACGATGTTGAACAACAAAAAAGAGTCACCAAAAAAGTATATCTGCTTTTGTGTGTGTTTGCTTCTGGTTTTGCTTTATTAAATTCAAGAGCAAGCAAACCAATCAGTGGTGATAGAGATCGGCACAGCTGCTGTTGGGGGGGATGGGACTGAGCGGGAGGAAGGAGAGATTTCTGGAGCGCCAGAAGCATTCTGACGGGTGGGTGCAGGAATGGACCGCAGGCACAAGTTCCTTAAGCTGTATGTTCAACGAGTGAGCACGTCTCTGTGTCAATTACACCTCAACAGAAAATGTTTTTATAAATGCGTTTGGCTTCAGGTTCTCTTTAGAATTTATCAGTGAGCTAGCCTGTGAGAGGAATGAGCATTTCTGTAACCTGTGCCATCAAACATACCTGAGGCTGTGGGAAGCTGTTCAAAGCATAATGATGAGTACTGATGAAAGGGCAAATAAACTAAAAGCCCATTTACAATTCTGAAGGACCCAAATGTGTGCTCCTGAACATTTAAAGACGACTCCACTCAGAAGTGGTTCACCGAGCTGCAAACCCAGTATGTCCAAAATCAGGCCAGTCACTTCCTCTGCTACTCTCCATTTCCTCCTCCCTCCAATAGGTCCATGAAGGGCTGATCATTCATGCATTCAGATTAGGAAAACGGGAATCGTCCTGGACTCTTCCCCTCAATCAGCCCTCTCTCCCTGCAAATTGCTTCCAATTCCAATCCCCATGAGTCAATCCTGCACCTCAAAACTCAGCTCCAGCACAACGACACATGGGGAGGCCTATGTGACTCTCCACACCCTTGCTTCCAAAGTTGGGTTCATTATCCCTCCTTCTCTGTGCTGCCCTGTCTACCCCTCTGGGGACTTAATGACATCATAGTGGTTGTTTTACTCAGCTCTAAGCCCATAGGACTGCGACCCGCTATGGGGCAGGCACTATATTGTTGCTCGAGTATCTTCTTTGCCCGGGGCAAACCTTTGTACCTTTATACATCGTTTGTAAACGATGAAATCTATAACAGTAACCTTCATATTAGGTGCTTATTCACATAAGCAAAGACCTCTAGTGCTGCCGGACTAAGGCTGGCTAATGCCCTAGTGATCACATTAGGAAATGCTGGGTGACAAGGGCAGGTACGAGTGAAAGTTCGTGCAGATGCAGCAGAGCAAAGCCATCCCCACTGCTAGACCACGGTGGGCTGAGTTACAAATGTTATCTCCATTTTCAGAGAGACGGGAGCAGCAGAAACACTGGTGCTCACATATCTCCATCTTGAATAATGATTATCACCATAAAACATAACATTAACTTCTTTTTTCTCTGGCATGGTATGACAGAAAAAAATTGTTACTGGAACCAGTTAGTGAAAGGGCCTTAACATACTGTTTGGCAGGAAATTTTCCTCAGATGAATTTCATAAGTGATTCTTTCATAAATGAATCACTTTGTGCTATTCATATTTATTCTGTCATATTGCCAGAATCACACGCTATATGATTTCAAGTAAAAATCTGGGTTTGGGGGCACCTGGGTGTCTCAGTCATTAAGCGTCTGCCTTCGGCTCAGGTCATGTTGAAATCCCAGGGTCCTGGGATCGAGCCCGGCATCGGGCTCCCTGCTCAGCGGGGAGCCTGCTTCTCCCTCTCCCTCTCTGCCTACTGCTCTGCCTACTTGTGCTGTCTCTCTCTCTGTGTCAAATAAATAAATAAAATTCTTTTAAAAAAAAATCTGGGTTTGAGGAGAAAGGTAAAAACCCACTAAAGGAGCATGGATTGCAAAAACAATTTAAAAAAAAATCTGGTATTCAAAATGCTCGATTTCTAATGTCAGAATGATCAATTCTTAGGACTGACTTTTTATATCCTTGTCAAGAACAAAGCATTTATAAATTTACAAATATAAACAAAAGGTGACAAAACTCAAGCTACTGGACAACTTACTTTTCTACCACTTCCAGGTCCTAGCTGAAGTACTAAAATGTACATGAAGAGAAAGATGCTGAGTAAGATGACAGCTCTAGTTTTACCACATCAAAACAGTTCTCAGAACGCATCAGCCCTCAGGCCTTCCCTTATGAAAACCCCTCTAGAGCACAGAGGCCAAGAGTGTGAACTCTGGAGCCAGCATGCAAGGGGCAGCCTCCATTCTGCCACCTGTCGGCTCTTGGACCCGCTTTGTTGTGTCTCAGTTTTCTCATCTGTAAAATGGAGATAACAGCATGCCTACCTCTTAGGCAACTGGAAACATTAAATGAGTTAATTCATGGAATGTGCTTAGAAGAGCTCCTACATAATGTTTAATGCTTACTGAAGGTTCGCATTCGCTGGGCCCTAGCGTATGGCTCAATATAACGGTAAATTAAGACAGTTCCCGCCCTGTGGGGTTATAGCATGCCAATAAATACATTATTGTGAACTTAAGCAATATTAAGACAGTATAACCTAGTCTTGGAATGATCAGGGAGGGCAAAGTAATCATCAGTTAAGATTCCAAGGGCCAGGAAAAAGTGAACTAACAGCTAGCATGTTGCAGAGGTCCTCCATTAAAGTTTCCCCTGAATAACGGATTTTAAAGACTGAAAGGTAAGGAGCATTGCAAAGGAGGGAGAGAGGCCCTATCATCAGTGTTCCTGCAGTTTTTGTAATCACACAGATAATTAAGCACTTACAAGAGCAGTCAGCTTATTGTACAAGAAGATCACGAATATAGAGTTTCAACTATTATTCTTTTTTTTTTTTAAAGATGTTATTTATTTATTTGACAGAGAGAGTGAGAGCACAAGCTGGGAGACAAAGGGAGAGGGAGAAGCAGGCTTCCCGCTGAGCAGGGAGCCCGATGCGGGGCTCGATCCCAGGACCCTGAGATCATGACCTGAGCCAGAGGCAGACGCTTAACGACTGAGCCACCCAGGCGCCCCTCAACTATTATTCTTTTGTAAGACTGAATAAAAGAGGTTGTAATATACAGTAAGACTATGAAAATAATGGGAAATAAGCAAAGCAAGCACAATCATTAAAAATAACTATTGCTAATTCTTGGCCTTATAGTCTCTTCTAGAAAGGTCACAATGTAACTGGGCAGCCGGTCAATCAAATTTTTATGACACCAAATTACAAGTTACAACTTCCTGAGCAGGTCTTTCAGAGTTTAACTTCTCTTGATCCACCTTGAAGATCAGGCTAATTAATTACTAAACAAAAATAGCCACGGTCACGGTTTATGGGGAACTTATTGTATGTCAGTGAGTACAGATATTAATCAAATCTTCATTTCTATGTGCTTCGGTTGTTAAATACCCCCTCTAAAAAAGCACCTTCTTGCAGCACCTCAGACACGGGGTATTTTATATTTATGTTGTGAGGAAATTCTTGGGCTCAGCTTACAAAACATGGAAATAAAAGCACAGAAATTTCTGGCCAGAAAACAGTATTACTTTTTATGCCTTTGCTAAAGTCAGGTCAATATTAAAAAATCTGCACTGTAACTAGAAAAGAGTCAATGTTGTAAAAACTCATTATTTTAAAAAATACTTCTAAGACAATTTCTTTGAAGTACTGGACAGTAATCGAAATGCTAACTCAGTAATGTGCTCTGCCTGCTCAAGGCAGAAACAAGGCCCTCTGTGAAGCACCCTCAACAATAAAGAAGAAATTACAAAGGCAGGATAGAAACATCAACTCTCCCTGCTCTGTGCACCTTTTCTAAACACAAAATACACGTACCTGCGCAGTACCCATCATGTAAAAGCCCAAATTCTCCATGGATTTCTATTCTCATTCACATTATAATACCAACAACCCAGTTCTCTTAAGCATTTGTACACATGACTATAAATGTACACGGTATGACAACCGCCAAAACCTGTAACATCCCAATGTGAAATAAGCAAAGATGAGCTGGGATATATAACTAAAAATATTCTTTGATTATAAAAGTTATTTTTTTTCCTTGAAATTTATTAGTCAGGAGATTTTGACAGTTATAATTATTTCTACCAAAATCAACAAGAGTAATGCATATCATTGCCACAAAATTCACATTAAGCATAATGTAAGAAATAGGAGCAAAAGTTCAACCAAAAAGAAAGAAAATGGAAATAAAAAACAGAAGCAAGAGGAAATACCCTTGGGATAGAGGTCCTAGAAACTCCCCTCTTCACAAAACATGTCTTTCCCACTATGAGAACAGGAGGCTTGTATGTTAATTTCTGATTGCAGGTAGAATTAATGTCATCTCTCAAATGCCATTTGAAAGCACAGGCCCTGGTCGAAATGATGTTCCCACTGTCTAAATTCATTGCTGTGACAGGGGCACGTGGCAGAGGGGAGGGAAAAGTACAGAAATGGATGAACCCAGGGGGCTGAAAAGAAAGACTTCGGGTACTAACGAGACCTAGGCAGCCAGCCAGGATTGCCCAGGGCACTAAGATGCCCTCACGTAAATGGGGAATGGGGAAGAAGCATAAAGTCACAAAAGTATGCACTACTAGAACTTTCGTCTTAAGGCAATTCTGATCCATCAACAATTAGCCTATCAATTTAAAAAAAAAGGAAAAAAAAAACACCTAACTACTACTACTACTACCATCTTTAATGGCAAAAATCATACCGTACTTTGATCATTAACACTCCTCACATTCTAGCTCAACAAACATGTACTAGACTGAATCTGACATGTATTTTCCTTTACTTTGGCTCAACTGATCAAAATGCAGACAATCTTCTCTTTAAATTTAGGTATAATTAATCCTTCTCTCAGGATTTTTACTCTTCATCGACTGATTTCATACAGCTACTGTGCCTATCAACAGTACATTTTAAATTAAACAGAAAAGGAAAGAGCAATGCATCCAACAAAATGTCATACCTGGTGGTACTTCCTGTTGTTCTTCAGCAGGGGGCATGTGCTCTTCTAAAATAAGTAAGAAAATTACAATCCATTATATATCGCCGACCAGTGTTTAAGATACAGACTGTATTTAAGTTACAGTGATTATTTTTACAGACATTTTTGGGATTCGTGTGCAATGATAACAAAAACATTAAGTTTTCACACTATTACAACAAAGAAGAATTAGCTAGAACTTCGCAAAATGTTGTATACTTCTCAAGTGTTCATAAAATAGGCTTTACATTATCTGCCTAACTGACTAACTGCAAAACTCGCTACCTGGGCAAAGGAGATATGAATTAAAACCCAGGTCTTTGTGACAGTTTTGCATCAGACTTGATAAGAAAGCTGAAGAAAGATGTTTAAAATATGTTGTTAAAAAGTTTTTAAGACAAAACCCTAATTGTAACATGAACGAAAACAACACAAAGAAATTGAAAGATCAGAGTCCTAAAAGTAAATTACTACCCTTAATAAAGTTTCTGAAAAATAATATTCAAGATAATATATTCTAAGACCGGCCAAAAATATGGAGATGACTTTTTTAACATCTTGCTTTTTTCCCTGGCCACTTCATCCCATTTGCAACTAAAGAGACTGTAGACTTTATCACATAATGGTATAATAATATATTGATCTAATTCACTCTATCAAATTACATCACATTTTAAGATCTTCATAGCTAACAACCCACTGAACATTACCTTAATCTAGAGATAAGATTATATCAGCTTTCCTTTTGCTCCTAAAGACTTGGAACAGACTTTGGTCAAAAGGAAGAATTTTTATAGCATTTTCTAAAACTCATACATTTATGCAGTTAATCATTTTTCTTCTTATATTAAATTGCTTCTAATTTTAAGAATAATACATACCCAAATGGAAGATTTGGAAATATTTTTTACATAAAAGGAAAAAGGAAAAAAAAATCTCACCTATTCCCACTGATCACAGTTAATATTCTGGCATATTTCGTTGTTTTAGTGGTAGTACTGTGAGTGTTTACTAGCTTTCTCTGTTGTGACTGGCTCGTTAAGGTTTGCCTACTGATTTCATTCTCAGTAAGTCAGAGATCTACTAGCACTGTATCACCTTTACCAATATTTTTTTCTCAGGATTTCTTTGACTTGTCATCTTAGGTTTGAAAAACTTGTATGCATCATAAAGTATTAGTCACTTTATTATTTCCATCACTGATATTATACTAAGAAAGGCTTATCATTATTGCAAGATAAATTTTCAACCAATTTTATTCTGAAAAAGTGTTCATTTAACAAACTTACCTGAAATGTATTTTGGCAATGATGTAATGAGAGGATTTTTTAAAAGGAAACAGCAAACTAATTATATCAGCACAGCCTGATTTTCTTTACTCCGGGACTTTTTAAACCCACTTCAGTATGGATTTCGACTCCCACCTTCATGATGATGGCTCCCAAACACATCAATTTCAGGTCTCACCCGTCTAGCTCCTAACACTGGCACATCCAACCCCCCACTTGATACCTCCGCCTGGGAATCTCACATTCCCAAACTTAAAATATCTGCTATGGAGGCTTGGTTTTCTCCCCTAAACCAGTTTCCTCTATGTCCTAGTTTTACCCACCATCCGACAGTTACTCAAACCAAACCGAAGTCTCCCTTGATTTCTCTTTCCTTCACAATCATCAGAAAGTTCCATCAGTTGTAATTCAAAAATCTCTCTCAAATTCAAAACTTTCCCCTCCATTTCCACTGCCATGACATTACTCCAGGCCACCATGATCACTTCCTGGATTGGTACCCAATCATTTCCTAACGGTGGTCCCTGCCTCCATTCTTGCTCCATCCAATCCATTTTCTAACTAGGAGTGAAAGTAATTCTTTAAAATAAGTCAGATTATGCCATACCTCATTTAAGTATTTTTCCCAGATTCCCAATGCACCTGGAATATAGTCCAAATTCCTCACCAAGTTCACAACTGATCTGTCACCTGAATCTTTAATGCTTAAGCCAATTCAAGTTTAGTTTTCTGTTGCCTGTAACAGAAAGTAACCTTACTGACACAGATGGGGAAGAAAAGAGGGTTTAGGCACCGTGTTGATACAGCCTAACCTGTACTTTTGAATAGAACACCCTAATGGCATCATGACAGATGGATCTGAAGGGGACAAGTATCAAGTTGAGATGATGGGCTAGAAGGTGACCACTGTTGTCCAGGAAGGTGATGAGGGCTGAACTAGATCACTAGAGCCACAGAGAAAAGAATGCATTTGAGAAATGTTTCGGAAGCCCATTCACCAGGACTTGCGATTAGCTGCAAAGATGGAGGGAGTGTCAATGATGACCCTCGCATTTCTGGTGTGGGAACCCAATTATATATTGATGCATCGAGCCAAATCAAGGAAGAGGGGGGCAAGAGAGGCTAGAGGGCATGTGAATTATGATGAGTTCCTCCTCACTGACCACTCAGGTTCCAAACACAGGAGCACAGAAACTACAGGTGGGGCTAGCGGTACACAGTCCAGAGCCCCACTAACCCCCAAAAGGAACTCCCTTAGCAGTCTCCACTATGTCCTCTACTGGCTTATCAAAATGCCTGAGAAGTCTTTGGAAAAACTACTTCAGACACAGGAAAGGCAGAGCCAAGATGCATATTGTGATGTTTTGTCTCTTAATATAAAACGATATGGGGGGATGGGTTGGATAAAGTTCTTCCAAGGGATGTGGGGTTTCCATTTTCTGATTCTGACTGAATAAAAAAAACAGACCCGGCTATATTCTTCAAAAAGAACTGAGTAATAGGAGGTAGGAGAAATTCTGAACACTATCCAGCCTGCTCTGTGGAGATGAATTTGTGTGTACTCAGCGGTCCCACAGCAGCCATGGAGGGGTCTCTGCCGGCAGCTAGGTGGACAATGAGGGCAATTCTGGTACCTCACATTCCCTCCACTCCTATCTTCTCCCATGTCCGTCAACTGTACTACTAAATATTCTGCCTAACCAAGCTCAAAAGCAGTAACATTTAACCTGAAAACTGACAATGAGTGGCTCATAAATGAATTCTAAGAGTAATTTTAAGAGCAAATGCCCTATTACATGTTTCCTGCGGCAACTTCTGACTGTTAAAGCCCATGGACCACAGAGTCCACTGCAGGCCCCAAGTCTGGGATGAATACCAGCTTTGCCACACACACACACAAAAAGCACAATGATATTGTCCTATCTCCTCTTCAGTATCCACTGTGAGGATCAACTGAAATAACGTATATGAAAGAACTTTGCAGACTGTTAAGATCTCTGTTAACTCTACATGCTGTCAAAGCACCACCATGTAATATATGCAACAATTTTTTAGGAATAATCCCTTCACTTTCAAAAATAGCCTGTGCAGCTGAACAACAACATAAAGAACCCAATTTCAACCCATCCCTGTCCAAGGCTAACCCCGTCTGACAAAACCACCCCCTAGTTAGAAGAGCCTCGCTGTAACCAGTTATTTGCTATTGGACTACCCTGGTTTTATCTCTGTTGTTGCACTTTTCATAATCTGTAGTTACTTTATCATTTTTGACCACGAGAATGCCAACCCCAAGGAAACCAGAAATCCTATCCATTGTCTTCACTTTCCTTCCTAGCCCTGGGCACTCTACGGACAGCAAAGTGTCCAATACATATCTGTTGAATACAGGAACATAATTTCAATACAAAAAGTAAAACTATCTCTATAAAATTAACTTACCTTCTAAAATTATGTTTGAATCTTCTACAGCATTATCTAAAAAAAAAAAAACCAAACACATTTTACATTAACTCACACTAGATTTCTAAATTAACTTATCTCTACTAAGGTAACTAAATTTGGCTCTTTTTAGACTGGGGGCTTCCTATGAAGACTCATAAGTATTTATATTAGCATATCAACTTTAATTCCTAGATTATATTCAAAGAATACATCAAATAGGCTGACATCATCCCTGATGACATAAAACTTGCATCATAAGTAGGGAATAAGCATATTGACAATATGCAATTACTTCCTTGGAGACTTGAAAATGTCTTGTATTTCTTACTACATCTATCTTTGTCCCACAAGTTATGTGAGTTTTAATAAATACAAGGGGGTGGGGCTGATTGCAGGAAACACCCGTTTAGAGAAAAAGCTTACCTGAACTTTCTAGCCCTTCATTTTCCAACGGTTCATATACTAGAAAATACACAGAAGAAATAATCCTTTAGGACTACATTAAGTCTCACTGTGACACAACACTCGCTGTATGGTTTCATGAGCAGAGACAATGTTTAATTCATCCTTAAACACCTGCGGCTTAGTCGCTGGGAAGTAGCAGTCTACAGAGTAGGGTGGGGAAGAGTGTGGCGTGGAATCAAACACACGCAGATTCAAAGTCCAAGTCGGCCACCTTTTAGTCACAGGAGATGGGTAATTACAAACACTTTCTTCGTGTAAAATGGGGGAAATTAAGGTTCTTCCCCAATCACTTGTTACCAGGATCCAAAACCTGTTTACTTCCTGGTGGCACTGAATTTCCCTTTCCTATTTTTTCATGTCTGCAGGGGGGAATTCTGAGCTTTACCAGGCAGATTCTCTATTTATTTAGGGAACAACTCTCAGATCTTCCACCTGGGGGCCAACACTGCTGGTACCAGCCCCTCAGAGCGAGGGTTCAGCTGGCAGACTGTGAGCTCATTGCCCTACCCGCGGCCCAGCACCCATCATCTCTCCTCGTTTACTTGCATGGGGCTCAGTGGCTCTGTGGTCTCCTACATAGGAGGCTCTGGTCTCTCCTCTCGGGCACGGCTGGGTCACAGCTTTCTTGGGTCAACCCAATCCCAACTTTATCCATTCTCCAAAATGCCTCAAATTTTCTGGTTCACTTAGAGTGAGCTTTCTTATTTTCCTAGCACAGTTATCAATGTATTCTTTATGATCATTTACTAAAGAAAATTTTTTGAGCACCTACTATATTCTCAGCACTGGGTAGAGTAAGGGACCATTTTTAACCCATCATCTCCTGTCCTTCTGGTGGCACTGGTAAGACAGAGGAGCAGCGCTTGGTTGCTCACTCTGTCACTTTGAACTGTGTTGTATTTAAACACGCTCATGTCTCTAGCAACTTAAAGAAAAAAAAGCCCTTTCTTGAGCCGGCTTCCCCTTGCCCCACCTCTCCCCTCCATTTCACAATCTCATTTCTTCAAAGAGTCGTTCACATTTGCTGTCTCACCCCTCACTTCCTTCCCCAACTACTGCCATCTGTCTTGTGGCCCTGACTCATCCCTGCCAAGGCTCCTCCGAGACCACCTCGTTCCATCTAGGCGACGAATTCCACCTCACTGAGTTAGATCTCTCAGCAGCTCCTTCCTTCTCAAACACTTCGGTGTGACCGTGTTCTCCTTCAATTCCTTCCTTTCTCCTTCTCAGTCTTCATCACCTGTCCTAGTCCTACCAGGCATGAAATGTTGGCTTTCATCAAAGGTCAGCCAGAGACTCCCATGCCCCTACACTGTCCTCCCTCCGTAAGTGATCTCAGCCTCTGGCTTCAATTATGTTGTACAGACTCATGACTCCCAAACTCACAGCCACGAATGAGAGGTCTCTGCTGAGATCCAAGCACTACCAACTGGCTTATTACATATCCCCCTGGATGTCTCGACATACACTGTCAACACATACAGACTGGACTCATGGCCTCTTGGCCCGTTCCTGTTTTCCAGTCCTGCCTGTCTTAGGGAAAAAGCACCGCCATCCATCAAGGGCACGAGCCGGAACGGTGGACGGGGTTCCCGACACCTTGCTCTCTCCCCCAGCTACACCCACACATCACGCGCCCTGTCAACTTTATCTCCTTACATTTCTCAGCTTGTCCGCTACCCTTCACTGCCACCACCCTGGCTGAAACTACTTTATCTCTGTCCACCTTCATCTGTGTCCACTGAAAATGGCTCCTGCCAAGGTCACCAGGAGGCCGCTGTCGTATTAGATCCAAGGCATGTGTTCAGTGCTCACCTCGCGTGGGTCCTCAGCAGCATGGGACACTGCTGAACATCCCTTTCCTGAAACTCATCTCCTCTGACTCCTCTTTTGGCAGAGATGGGACTCAGGCAAGATCAGATTGGGATAATGACACTAAACTAACTGGTCTCCCCATATCCACTCTGTGTCTCTCCAGTCTATTTGCTACATATCAGACTGATCAATCTTGACAAAATGCATATCTGATTTTTGTCGTGCCTTGAACAATGCCCTGAGGGTAGGTGAACATCCCTGACTAGCTCTAGGCATCCTCTGGAGCCCAGACATATTGCAATCTCAGGCCAGATTAGATGGCGAGCACTCCAGACACATCTTCCCACCTCAGAGGCTTCTTACAACATTCCGGCCACCTTTTCTCCTTGCCTTGGCACTTCCAACTTCAGGGAAGCCTTCCCTGGTCCACAAACTAGGTAGGTCTCTTCACTATATGCTCTTGTTACACACCGCCCTTGTTCTCACCAGCACTTAGCACAACTGCGAGGAAAATCACTAAATTGAAGCTATTTGTGTAATTTCTCCCCCCCCGACCCGCCGCTAAAATATAAGGCCCATAGGAATATGGACTATGTGCGTGTTCCTCACTGGAACTGCCCCAGTGCTGTTTTAGACATAAAATAGTTAATACATATGCAGTATATGAATAAATTAATCAGAAGGTGAGACGGTACTGTCATTTCCTAGGTATATCCAATGTAGGCTTGATGCTTTCTAGACTTTTAATATGAAAGCTGGTTACCTCCATAGCTTTAATAAGCCACATGTTTTCCAGGTTCCAGATGTAGGGAGTTTAATACAGAATATATTCTGTTCTCCTACTGAAAAACGATTTTTTTTAGAGATTTTATTTATTTATTTGACAGAGGGAGAGAGACCGCAAGAGAGGGAACACAAGCAAGGGGAGTGGGAGAGGGAGAAGCAGGCTTCCTGCTGAGCAGGGAGCCCGATGTGGGGCTTGATCCCAGGACCCTGGGATCATGACCTGAGCCAAAGGCAGATGCTTAATGACTGAGCCACTCAGGCATCCCTGAAAAATAGTTTTGTTTTCACCCTACTTACAGCTTCACTTACATATGTTCACTTGTTTTCCCTAGCCTGGTTCCTGAACGTCACAAAGGTATCTTTTTAGAACATAGTGAATAATCCTATTAATAATTCTATTAAATCCCTTTTGTTTGAAAAAGTTTAGGTTCTATGTCCAGGTAATCTAAAGTATCTCAAAATCTTGTGATCCAAAGTGTCTCAAATCTTGATGACCCCTTAGGTGCTATTTATTACTCTTTTTTTTAACATGTTAAATTATATTTATTCTGATATTCTGCCTATGAAAACACATTTATTTTACAATATCTTTTTTAACACAGTATCTAATTTTACACTTCTTTCAAGTTTGATTTTAAAGTTCTCTGGATCTAGTCTGCAAACTGCCTTCCAAACATGTTCTTCCTAGCATATTTAGACAAACACTGTAATGAGTGGCAGAAATTAGAAAAGTATCTCAAGTCTCATCTCTACATATAACTTTTAATTTCCAAATTCCTATTTTCTCCTTTAAATTTGAAACTGAAAAGAAAATCTAGATGCAATCATAGTGGCCAAGTTATTTCTTATAAAAATACCAGTTCTGAAAGACAGAATCCAGGATGCTTCCAATGGCATCATTCATATCCCATTAGAAATAGCCACCATGACTGGTCATCTTAGTAGGACCTTAAATCTTAAATACATATGCTTAATAAATTAGCATATCAGGTTTATACACAGCCACTCCTAATTTTCTTCAGTTGAGAACCACCAACTGTCATGAAACCATACGTTTCTTTTTTTTTTTTAAAGATTTTATTTATTTATTTGAGAGAGAGAGAATGAGAGATAGAGAGCATGAGAGGGAAGAGGTTCAGAGGGAGAAGCAGACTCCCTGCTGAGCAGGGAGCCTGATGTGGGACTCGATCCCGGGACTCCAGGATCATGACCTGAGCCGAAGGCAGTCGCTTAACCAACTGAGCCACCCAGGCGCCCAAAACCATACGTTTCTTGACAGTAGGATTCCATATTGCTCCTATTTGAATGTCAAGCCCCCAAACCATCCAGCACATAGAAAGTCCTCCATATTTGACTCAAGCACTATACACTTCGTCCTTCTTGCTTCACACATGAAGTTATGCTCAATTGACTTCTCTCCTTTTACAGTCATCCGTGAATGTGGCGGAATAAAAATGACCACACCATTGGCTTTATCATTTCTTAGTCATATCAACTTATGCAAATCACTTACATTCTCTGAACCTTATTTCCTTCATCCCGGAAGTCGCAAAAATAGAACCTACTTTGTGGAGTTTAATAAAACAGCCTGGGGAGTGCTTGGGCAGCAAACAAAGCTATAATTGCCCAAATCTGAATCTAGTGCCACTCATGCCAAAAACATGCCCGAACTCTTCTTTATGCCACTTTTAAGCCTGCGGTGAAATTCTTTTGTACTTTCTCCATACTAGTAGATCCATCACCTTTAAGAGTGGGATTACTTTGTAGTGAAGAAACTAGAGTAGTTCAACTCTGACTAGTTTTCTATGCACCAGACATATGCTAGTCAAAAGAGAGCTAAGACTATAAAGTAATGAGATAAGTTCTTGCGAAAAATTTTTAACGGCTTCCGAAGGCAACTTGCAAAGAATTTAAGAAAAATTATTTAGTCAATGGCAGCGCCACTGGAGGAGGTAAACACCTTCCCAAGTAAATTCTTTGAAAACTCCCATTCATTTGGAGCTTTTAAGTTATGGTATTTGAAGCTTAAAACACTCTCCTCTATACTCTACAAACTATGAGTAGATTTTAAAACAAGTAGATGGCTTAAGGTTAAGAAGCATTTTCAAACCTGGTTCATCATCGTCTTGGTATGTAAGGTCTTCTGCAGGAAAGAGAATAAAACTCAGTATTAAATGGGTCATTCTACGTAACTGCTTAGCTAAAAACCACAACTTAATCTCAAATACAGAATTCTATTCCTTTAAATATCAGTGTCTGCAGTCAGTGGTAAGTGCCTCTGCCCAAAAACAACTAGACAAAAGGACGAGTAAATTATTTTCATAAAAATTCCTCAAACTGGCATAAAGTAAGATATGCAAAAGTAGTATTAAGGATTAATATCCTGTTTTGTCATGGTGCCAGTGTAGATGAGCTAAAATATGAAAGCCTGATATTCCTTTCATAATCTAATCTTGTTACAAGGCAAAAAGACTTGTATTAGGTGTTAAGATCACTTCTTTGACTCCTTTGAAAGAAAAACCATGTTAACATAGCATTACAACTATAAAGCCTTGAGTAATGTTTACAATCTAATGAAAATATTCACCCAGTACCTGCTTCGTGGTACCTTCTTTCATCATCACCTACTACAGGTTCCGTGGAATCTATAGAGAAAAAATATACACCTCTGTCAAACACGAAAAACACAAACACATTACTAGATGCCATTCTAAAGTATTTACCAATTAATTCCAATCTTAACAACTGTGTAAGAGAGATATTATCATTATCATTCAATAAAATTTAAGCTGAATATAGTTCCATAATTTGCTCTCTAAATCACAAGGACAGGAAGGAGCAGAACCAGTTAAGACTCCACTACACCATACTGCCTTGTCAATTTCCGAATCGCCTTCCCAGCGTCCTATCTACAAAGAGCAAAGTCCCAATTGTGGTTTGAAAAATACATCTCCTTCTTCCCTCATTCTTCCATGTAATATTAAACTATATTCAGGAATTTCTATAAACGTCTGGGCAACCAAAAATGATTGCGAGTAGTATAAAGAGGACTCTGTGTTGAATCAGAGTGAATCATTTACCACGGGATAGATTGGCCTTGGCCAGTGCCTTAAACAGAAACACATTATCACAAACCTGGACTGTCCTGCTCATACATCATTTCTTCCATATCCTGATTATAAGCCTGTGAAGCTGTAAGTTAAGAAATGATTAGGAAATTAGAAATATATCTCAAGAAGGATTACACTTGATATTCAAAATAGGAAAAGCACAATATCCAGTAATGCCAGAAATGTAAAATCAAATCATAATGATGCTCACATTTATATTCACTCATGGAACACCCAGGTACTACCTTTGTGAAATGCCAGATACAAAGATGAATGAGATAGTCCCCATCATCAATGGGTTTATAATCGAACCACAAACTTTAGATTATGCAAATTCAACTATATTCAGCAAAAGACTAATGAGACAGAGAGAAACAGAGACCACAGATATGGCGGTGCAGGTGAGCCCTCCTCCCATCCACTCAGCAAGCACCGGCCGCCAAGAGTGTACCCGAGGAAGGGCACACACGCTTCCCAGCCCCTCACACTTGGACTCAGTACCTGAGTACTCCCAGACCGCAATACAGTTCTAGTATTTACAAATACCTATTGTTGAAGTGAAATAGGTCCTAAATGCTAGCCAAGAGTATCATGTGGTCCTCAAGCACAGAGAGAGGGATCTATTCCAGCACCAGAAGAAAAACTGGCCGACACAGGCTTACTGAAAGATGACATGTCCACCTCCAGTGTGGCCATATCTTCTGGGGATGCATGACCAGTGACAGTACACAATCCTGATCTCTCATCGACTTTGTAATTTAAGGCTACAAAAAATGCACTTCCACTGTATCTGTTGGCCTAGCAATCCCACTGCTGGGTGTTTATCTTCAGGAAGCAGACTTCAAAAGCACAAAAACTATATTCACAAAGAAACACATGAAATCATGACACCATGTATGTTATACATAACAATTAACTACATATTATGTATTTTATGACATATTATAAAATATATTAATAGATAATCATAGATAATGTTTTCTCTTTCTCATGATGTTCTTTTTATAGGAAAAGACGCATTCTAATTAAAAAAGAAGAGTATTAAGTTTAAATCTCACCTGTCTCTTCTACATGGTAACTATCTTCAGTTTCTGAAAAGAGTAACATCAAATCAATAGCAGTACTTTCATAAAATTGTATGTATATTTACCATAGATGCATATCCTGAATCTACACTTGCCACTGATTTTATTTTGAAAGCAAAAAATTATTACAATCAAACATGAAAATATCCATTAACTGTTTGCTGAACACTTTAGCTTTTACTAGAACTACACTTAGAAATGCCTTACACACCCTCTTTGACCCACTCAATGCCACCGCAGCCTGGACTAGTGAGAGGATGATTTGAACAGTGGGACACGGTGACAAAGCTGGACCCAGGAAAGGGGCTATCTTAGTCTGCTTCACATTCCACTGTGGTGTCTTGTTTTCTAGAGCAAAAGCACAGTGTCTACAGATGGGAACACAAGGAAAGACAGAGGAGACTTTCTAAGATGGGCAGCGGAAAGGTAAGTGAGTTCCTCATTGAACCCGCAGACCCCCAATAGCAAAATGCCGCCACCACAGGATCCTCACTACTCCACTGACCCTTGTTAATGTAACAACTATATGAAGTGTAAATATTTTTAATTTCTGAAGACTTTCAATAAACAACTTTTAGGTTCACACTGAATCTATGTCCCAATTAAACATTAGGTCAGAAAGTAAGGTTTTCTCGATTTATAAACTTTTTAGAAGTACTTCTTCCTACCCCCAATCTGTAACTCCTAACCTCAAAAATATCAAATTCCTTATGTTTCAGATAATTTGAGTGTCTTAACTGTCTTAACTGAAATGTGTCATTTAAGCAGCATCTGAGACACCAAAATTCTGAGTAACTGTCAATCTTCCTGAGCCATCTTGGCCGAAGACAGGAGGAAGCAAGAGATACCACGGAAGTGTGGAAATCATTTTATCAGCATCCCTTACTTAGAAATTAGAAGCATTTTTTTCCCCAGAGAAATTGCAACACACATGATAATTAAAGGCCTGGGCGCCTGGGTGACTCAGTTGTTAAACGTCTGCCTTCGGCTCAGGTCATGATCCCAGGGTCTGAGGATCGAGCCCCGCATCAGGCTCCCTGCTCCACAGGAAGCCTGCTTCTCCCTCTCACACTCCCCCTGCTTGTGTTCCCTCTCTCGCTGTCTGTCTCTCCCTGTCAAATAAATAAATAAACTCTTTTAAAAAATTGATAACTAAAGTTCTAAAGTTTTTTTAAAAAAAATTTATTTATTTGAGAGAGAGAGGGAGAGAGAGAAAGAGCGGGGAGGGGCAGAGGGAGAGGGAGAGACAGCCTCAAGCAGACTCCAAGTTGAGCATGGAGCTGACATGGGGCTCAATCTCACGACCCTGAGATCACAACCTGATCCAAATCCACAAGTCAGATGCTTAACCAACTGCACCACCCAGGCGCCACAAAGGTCTGAAGTTTTAAAGCTAGTCTATAAATGCCTACTTTTAATGCACAATGCAGCTAAACTCATATACAAGCTCAAAATCATTTTGAGTGTACATTTTCCATAGAAAAGTATGCATTATATACAATTTTGTAGGTTGGTATGGGAATCGAACCATCACTTATAACATTATAACCATCACTTATAACACAACATAACATCACTTATATCACTATGGAAAAGCGTATTTCCTGCTCTCAACGATAAGCATGAATGTAAGTTTTTGGAAATATATTCATTCATGAACCAAGAGCTTCTTGCTTCTAGCTTCCCAATACATTAAATATTGTGAAAAAGAGATATATTTTACTTTTTCATTACTTTTATATGCTTAAAAAAAAGTCTTAGCAACCATGTACCAACTGTATTGTGACCAGGCTACCTCGCCACTCAATTTTTAGCCTGTACAAGTGCTACGTCTCCACCTGATTCCCCCTGGCTATGAGCATGGAGGCACACGCCTTAGCCTGTTCACACCCAGCAGCCTGGGACATGAGGGGAGACATGTGAAAAAATCACCAGCCTGGCCAGAGTGCTGCTCAACCTCGGCTGCCTTGGGATATGACCTGGGGAGCTTTGACAATGATCTGGTTTTAGAGGCTCCACACCCCAGACATTCTGATTCACTTTGTCTAGGGTGGGTCAAAGCATTCTTTTAAAAGCTCTCTAGGCGATCTTGATTGCATCCAAGACTGAAAACTATTTGTAGGGGTATCAAGTACATCTTTTACGGACCATACTCACAAGAAATTCCCTCTCTGAATCCAAGACCTTATGGCTCTGGACCTTCCTACCTTCATTAGTGCTGTGGATTTCACTTATTACTTGTTTCTCACAGTCTTTCTAACTTGCCTGAACTTGACTGAGGCTTAGCTAATCCTTAAACACTGCCAGATACCTCTTATCCAGATCCTTTGTGGCTTGTGGGGCTACGCTTTTGCATGGGTCCTGAAGCAGCTCAACCACAGACTCTGATGATTATTATATGGTGGAACATAATGGGCTATATGGTTGATTTTGTGTGGGTGCTGTCAACCTTTTTCTTTAGTTTTACTCTTTAGAAATGAAACATCGATCTCAAACAATGTTTCAGTAGTATTCATTTTATGTATACAATTATACACATACAATTATATCACTTATACACTTCTATACTCTAAATAAAACATCATTAATCAATCAGAATACAATCTGTGGATTCAAATCTTTCAGGGTACCTGGCTGGCTCAGTGGGTAAAGCATGTGACTCTTGATCTCAGGGTCATGTGTTAAAGCCCACATTGGGCATAGAGCTTACTTTAAAAATAAATTAATTAAAAAGTTAAAAAAAAATCTCTCAAGAGCTCATTAAAGTCTTAAAGGGCCACCTTAAAAAAGAACAGAGAATAGATACCATAAGAACAAAGCATGTGTGCTCATTTAACAAGGCTTCAAATAAATAACCGCGGTAGTATCACATTAAAACATAGCAGAACACAAAATACATGAGAAAAAGTTCAGCATTACAGAAATCACTTCCCTCTATGTGTCAACAATGAATAACTGTAGCTCTAACTTGCCTTCTGCAAATGATCCAAGGTAAGCTACTCAGTGGATATTTAAATAACCAGCATTTAATGGAAGATACTGACACAGAACAGATGTCAGCAAACTATGGTCTGTAGCCCAGAGCAAGCCCGCCTCCTGATTTTGTACATAAAGTTTCCCTGGAACATGGCCATACGTACCCATTTAGGTATTATTTAAGGCTACTTCTGCACTATGACAGCAGAGCTGAGTAGTTTCAATAAAGGCCATATGGTCTGCAAAGCCTAAAATATTGATCCTCTAGCTGTTTACAGAAAAAGGTTGTCAATGCCTGGTACAGAAGCTAAGAATTGTGTTCTATAAGCTGTACCTATGGAGTTCATGTTAGAGCAAGAGACTGTGATAGATTGCCGAGTAAAATATTTCATCCATTTTCTGAATTTCTTCTAATACATGGCACTCTAGGAAGCAGTGTACAGTAAACGTAATGTGTTAAAGCATTTCACTTACTTCCTATAAGGAATTTATATATTCTGACAGTTTCCTTAAGAAAGTGCTTTGAATCAAAATCAAGATATCTACTTATTTTAGGGAAAAAATTAGTTTCATCAGCTTCCACTTAAAAATAAACCTCAGATAAAAATTAAATATTGGTTTTAAAGGTGTTTAAGAAAGACTTCAATAATCATAATTACAAATTGTCTATTGGGTTTTATTCTGAAACCAAAAAAATGTGTCCTACCTTCATGAAATGTTCTAGTCTCCAGGGACTCAAATCTATCATCTGCATCATGTCCTACGAGGAAATCATCATCTTCCATTTGTGGTTCCCTCGCTTGTCCACCCTCTTCTTGTTGTACATCGTCTCCTTGAACGATCACAATGAACAGAGTCACACGAGTCCACAACAAGGGCCCACAGGCAACAGCCAACACGGACGCATGAGCCGCTTCCGAAAGGCTGCCACATACCCGCTCCTGCTGCTGGGCACTCGCTGCCCCTCGTCTGGGCCATGGCACAGGCTGTTGCCCGCTCTGAAGCTCTGTCCTCACTCTGGTCAAGTGCTAGTCCACCTGGGTGGCGGGGGCGGGGGGGAAGGCCTTCTCTCACTAGAACATGAACTCACCAAGCACAGGGACCTCATATATTTTATTTACTATGTATGCCAAGCACTCAGGGCCATGCTTAACCATAGGAAATGCTCAATAAGTATTTAAGGAATGAATAAATGAATTCATAATTGTTAACGTATTTGCCTCTTCTATTATCACCAGGTTAGAGAGAAGATCACCTTGTGACCTCTCATTGAGAATTGTCCTAAAACTCCATGTAACAATCTTAAATAACTCCATAAAATGTTCTATTGCAAAGGACAGCCAGATACCTCTCTCAGCTGTATGCTAGGCCATCTGCATAAGGTCACCTGTACTATCCTTTGCATCCAAAGGTTGCTATGTGGAGCCTGTGAGTTATACAGAAATGCCCATTTTTCTCTTCTGAGACTAACTTTTATGATATACTAAGCTATTCTGCTTCTTTTGTGTAGGTGTTGGATAGGCTACTTATCCCGCTGCAATACGGTTTAGCTTGTCATCTTGGTGTAAAAAGTTCTCCCAATAGTAACCTGACATGGCTGCAAGTGCAGTATGTCCTATACATAATACTCTAACCAAGCAACACAAGCGACTCAGCTGTGCTCACAGGGCAGTAAAGTGGTTAGGAGTGTGGGGTCTCGAGTGTATGGCTCCAAATTTAGTCTTTCCACACCAGCTGTGTGGCCCCAGAGACGTTATGTAACTACTTTGTGCCAAGGACTTTTCTTCCATAAAAAGGAAATAGGAGAGTACCTACTTATAGCATTGTTGTGAAGATTAAAGCACTTGGAAGACCGCCCAGCCCAGAATAAGCATTTAGGTGTTACTGTTCTTGTTGTGTTATTCTTATCATCATCATCATCATCATCACCGTAAGGATATTACTGTTTCTGCTGCCACTAAACTCTCCTCAAACACCGCAGGAAGCCTTCCTTCCCTCACCTTTAGTATGAAATAGCGACGCTCTCCACTGCTACTGAACCATGTGGGCCCATTTATGGCCACACTATTTATTTGTTTTCTGTCTTTCCAACACAGCCTGCTACGTTGTTTCTCCTCGTTTCAGATTTTCTGCCAACTGGCAAACCAATCACCAATTCTAATTCTAATTCCTGTCACTGATTTTATCATACCCCCTTTTCCATATTCTTTTTTCCTTACTCTTGTGTTATCCAGTGCAACTTTATGGTTTTCACATGAGCAGGATTTAGCTCTTGGCCACCGCTCGTTACTTAATGGAAAGTCCCCGTTTTCAGTAGGGAAACCAACCGAACACCATGCATTATCTGAGTCTCGCTTGCTCAGTCAGTGACAGCCTGGTACGAGCAAAACAGTTCCCTGCAGGCTGACTACGTCTGAGGCACTGCCAAGCCCTCTTTGGCCATTACAGTAACCCCAGGAAGTAGGTACTATTCCCCTCTTCGAAGGACGAGGAACTTGAGAAACTTGGCTAAAACCACACAGTTAGTACATGGCAGCCACAGGCCCTGAAACACCACGAAGAAGCACAGAAGGCCCTGGACAGAGAGTCTACTGCAGAGATGGTGGTCCGGGAGGCCATGTTTCATCGGGTAAGATGTGAAGACTGGAACACACACATATCAGCAAGAGATAATAACACGTACAGAGGCCCCGAGGCAAACAGACTTGGCAATTATAAGGAAAAGAGAGGCATTTGGGCTGGAGAAAAGTGACCGAGAGGAGGAAAAGAAAAAGACCAGGTCCACATAAGGCACATCAAACACAGACCCAACTGGACGCCGCTGCAGCCGCCATGCAGGAGAGGACGGTGGTGACGCTGCCACACTGCGGTCCAGATACGTGCTGGAGGCCAAGCTGGCAGGACCTGCCCGTGGGTCCCATAGGAGGCGAGAAGAGGAGAGAGAAAAATAAGGAAAACTCCCCGGTTTTTAGCTTAAGCTACTAAGTAGAGGGGAGACCAAGACCTAACATATAAAAAAGTGGAATAAAAGCAAAATTTTACAGGGTGTGGGGGAGAGCTATGAAATGCAAAGGAATCAAGAATTCTGCTTAAGTCCATTTTGAGTCTGAGATACCCATAAAACATACAAATGAAGATCAACAGGCAGCTGGATAAACCAGGAGCTCAGAGGAGACAGGGCTACGGATACATACTCAGAAACAACACAAATAACATTTAAAGCCATGGCCTCTGTGAATTTCTAAGTAAAGAAGAGAGTAAGTCCAAGAGGAAGTCTTGCGGCCAGAAACCCAGGCATGTTAGACTTGATTCGTCCCCCTTCTGTCTGGTTTCCTACACCCACCCACCCGAATGTCTACCATATCGTCCCACGCTTCTCTCTCCCCACCTTGGCTAAATTTGGTTCGACCGACCATCCTGACCCACTCAGATCACCAGTAGAGCCCCCCAACTCCTCTCCCACCCCAGCACGCTCCCTCTGCTCCTGTTCACACTGCAGACAGAAGGCACAGCACTCCCTAGCGCCCTCCAGTGGTTCTGATTCCTCTGTGACTCCTCTGATTCCTTTCCCAGTCACTCTCCACCTAGGTACTCCATTGGCCGGCCACCCTGAACTACTCTTGGATCCTCTTTTCCTCTGGGATTGCCCACGGGCCATGCCCTTTGCCCAGAACCCTCCAAGAACAACACCCACCTGGCAAAGCATGACGCCATCCTTCAGCTACTAAGTCAGAAAGAAAGCCACCTCTTCGGAGAAGCCTTTGCTAATGCCAAAGTCTATACAAGGCCCACACAGCCGTTACATTTCACCGTTAAGGCACTGACCTCATCATACTGAAATCACTGATTTATTCAGACTGCATCATCTTTGTGTTAGGTTAACGTTAAAGAAAAGATGTAGGAAGGGAAAGCTTGTGCTTGCCGAGAGAGGCAGATGCACGCTCAGGTGCAGTGGCTCTCCTGGCTGAGCAGAAGCCGGTAATGAAAAGGGCACAGGCTCCGAGACCGAGAAGAGCCAATGGTGAAAACCTACAGCTCAGCTGCAGTGGGTCTCCCCAGCACAGCACAGATGGAGCTGGATGGGATGCTTTACACATAACCCCCAAACACCTAAGCCTGAGTAAGACAGTTTAGCAGGCCTGCTCAAGCAGTTTCAATGATAGAGAGTCCCAGCTGTTTTTAAGAAACATATTTTTTTCCTTTAGGACTCTCTTCGGCTCACACCAAACCATTAGGCGTATCAGGATACCATGTGTTCTGCCTTCTTCGAAATCCCTCTGTGAGTCACATCTTGGGGTTATACTATCTGCTTTTACCAAGGGATGTTTCAAGAAACAGTCTCATAAAATCTTAAAGCATGGGTTTCTAAAGTATCATTTAATATTCTCTGTACAGAACTACATATAAGAAATGCTTTAGATGTAAGAGCTGGGGAAATGTTTTATATTCTCTAAGTAGATAGCATGTTCATTTCCGCTCTGGTAACATAACCAACGTAATTAAAAGTCTCTCTTTTTGCTATGGCGACCGCCCAAGCACGCGGCCGGGTCCGGCCGGTGCCGGCATCCACACAGCCCATTACGGCTTGCTTGTGTTCCATTTTCCTCTTCCCTGTTCTTGCATCTGTTCTTGATGTATCATTGGTTTTAACTCGTTTATTCTCATTTATTCCAACCATTTCTTTATTAAATCTATGCAATAATTTCCTTAACAGTAAGGCAGGGTAAGATAAAACGAGTTTAGTGCTCTTTCAGAAACACTTGTCCTCCAATAATTAAAAAAACCACTCAATTATGATTTAAATTTAAAAATAATGTCTAAGTCACTTTATGTAATTAACCATTATTTGAGCAAGCAATGCACGAGAAAATGGATTTTAATTCATACCATGTTTTGTGTAGACTGCCTCATGGAGAAGGGGCTGAATTTGTTCTTCTACTTCATCTTCAATATTCCGAAGTCCTAAAATGATTAAAAACATAATTAAGTAGAAAAAACCTAGGTATTAATGAAGAACATGAAACATGACATCCAGGTATACACATTCAAATGAATATATTTGGCTCATCAACTATGCTACCTTTCATACCCATTTGCCACTTTTTTTTTATATGTTGGCAAACACAGTAAATATTTAAGATTGGTTTTGTTTTGACAGCAGATACAAACGTTTAGCAAACACCTCACAGAGCAAAATTACTTCAGTTTCTAATTAACAAAATTCACAGTCATGATGGAATAAAGAAAAGGGGATGGGCAAAGCTTTCAGGAAGGGAAGTACTTCAGGAAGGAAATGAAGATGAAAATGTGGAAGATGAGGCCAACATACACGAGAGCACATGACAGGCCACCGTGTGAGGACCGAGAGGGTCAGAAGTTGAGGACAAGAACCCACATGATAACCGACAATCCTTTCGGCTTTGGAGAAGCCCATCTGACAGTCAGATCCATAGATTAAAATAGATATAAATTACAAAAGTCAACACTATCAGTAATGACCTTCCAACAACACTGTGCTGCTTATCGGATTACCGGGTTTGTTGAAATATCACACAGCAAACAGGAAGCTATAATGACATTGACACTACGATAAATTTTCTGTTTAACAAACATCCATGTTCAGTAAATTGAAGTAGCACTAGACTCAGTATCACCCATGCTGTCACATGAAATAATGCCAATGACATCAGTTAGTTATACTGACAAGCTAATCCTCGATGACAAAAACGGTAAGTTCATTTGAACTTCAGATAGAAAAAGAGTTTAAGAACGCGTTAGGCTAATCACATTACAAAACCATTCCTGAAGCACAAAAAGTGCCTTCTATTTTTATAGATGTTTGTATGTCACAAACCATTTTTATATGTATTTGCATATAATTACAGAAGAGCCTGCCAATCTCTATTCTTCCCTCCTCAGCTCTCACAACGCCCATGACAGCTTCCTAACCAATTCTTAGTTTTACGACTGCTGACAGCACCATCCACAGAGAATCTAATATTAGTAACTGGAGTGGATGGTACTCTGCTTCTCTGCTTAACCCTTTAATGGCTTCCTCAGCCCGAACAGAGGAAAAGAGTTAAATCTAAGCTCCTCAGAACAGAACAGAAGACCTTCACAATCTAGCCCTCACGTGCCTCTCCAGAATCACCTGCTACCTGCACTGGCTTTGAACTCAGTGAGTCCACCATGCTGTTTCACCTTTCCATGATTCTGTGATATTCCCCCTTTCCTCTGGGAAGGATTAGGAGAGGCAGAAGCTAGATTGCAATGAGTTAAAAACTGAGTGGAAAATAAGGCAAAGAAAGCAACTGTAGATTGTTTTTTCAAAAATCTGGCTAGTACAGGGCCGGGGACTGGAGGGCAGATAGAAAGTACTGTAGGGACCAAGAGGGGGTTTACTTTATTGTGTTGTAATGAGAGGTATGTACCTGGGTTTGTAGGATAGATAGAGAAGAAAAAGAAGCCAAAACCCTAGATAAGAGAAAGGTTGAAAAGGCAACATTTAAACTAAACCAAACACTGCCAAGAAGTTGAAAAGGATATGAGTTGAAAATAAACTGACAGATTTAGAAGGACAAGTTATCAGTTAAATGTAGAGCAATATTAACAAAAATTTAAAAAGGAGAGCTGAAACGAATGGCACATTTCAGAGTAGGTATTAGCTTTGAAAAATGGTATTTTTTACATTATAAATTTATTTAGTGCAAAGTAATATCTGAGATGCTAAATCCAAATACACATTTAATTATAAAACGTTAAAAAAAGTAGCTTTTTTGCTCGAGTTATGGTACGCTAAAGGATTGGGAAGGAGAGAGTAAATTCTAGGATTATGTTTGGAACAAATAAAAAAAAATCAGAGCAGCATACTGATCTTAAAAGGTAGAAAAGAAAATCATTATTCATACAGTGACAAAACCAGCCAGAGTACTTCAGTTGCTAGTAAATATGTACTGTCATACCAAACCCTTCCAATAGGTGGCAAGATGAAACCAAATTTTGGAGAACGGTTAGGTAAAGGGAAACCGTGCAGCAATTAAATAGTACTTTGCAATAAATATCACAGCACAAACAGGAAACACTAGTAATAGATTCGAATTTCATTTGCCAATTTATTGACAGACTTTAGGAGTTTTCCTTCTGTGGGTCACAGCCCTTGGGTGACTATGGAGATCTCTGAATCCATCTATGAATTCATGTGGATGTACAAGAGGCCTCCCACAGCATCAAGTGGGGGTCTGGAAAGTCTCTGATGGAGAAAGGAGACCATCCTATTAAAAAGACTGGGAGCCCAGTAGGCCTCCGTTAGATCTTGGAACCGACCATTACAACACTAGGGTACACAACGCGTCGAACTGTGCTTTCACTATAAGAGGTTCTGGAACTGGAATCCAGATACCTGGCATTTAGTTCATGATGTTCCTAACTGTGCCACCTCTTCTGTGCCTTTGATTCTTGATCCCCCAAATTAAAATTATCCTGTGTAAATTTTTACTAGAAAACATTAAGTTTACTCCAAAATCTTAGGAGAGAAGGAGAAAAAAATACTTCATTTTCCGTAAACATTGTGACACAAATTATGGGTAAAACATGATTCTGGAAATTGCAAACCAGAGAGCTGGCAGGACGAGGCACATCCAGTCAGAGGTTGAGGAGAGCTTACCTGAATCCTCGGGGACCTGCTCCTCCAGCCACGGGTATGGCTCAGCTTCTTCCGGTGGGACTGTTGGCTTTGAAGTAGATCTTTCTTTAAGGCCTGCATTTTTATTCACAAAGTTAACCTGAGTTTTTTTTTTTTTCTTTTTTTTTTTGACATATTAAACCAGGAAAAACGATATTCTCGAACACTTCATCAATAGTGCAAGTAATTCGGTTTCTCAGACTTCATACTCCGTGAGAATGTAGAGACGCTTAAAAACTCAAGTAGGCAAACAGACTGCTCTGTAACTTCACGTGGGCCTTGAACATCTCTTTCCCTAAGTTAACCTTTCACTTAAAAACAATAAAACAAAAATCCTTGCTTAAGCCTTCACGAATCTCTAAAATAGAGTCATGTCTGCTCTTGCCAAAAGAAGTTCAATATGAGTTCAAGCTCCTCGTGTTCAGAAGTGATTAATTGCTGCTTGAGCTCTGAATCCAGCAGTAAGACAACTAAGATACGCTTGAATTTGTTTGCCTGCCATATTTTGATTTTTATATAATTACCTGTTCTTCTTGAAAACTATAGTTAAAAATGAGAACAAATCATACATAACTATTTACAATCTTCTCAAGGTACCACTTACAATCATACTGTTCTATAAAGAGCTAAAAGACATGAAAACAAAGATGTGTGTGTGTTTTTAACGTCTTAAGGAAAATAAAACATCAGGGTAAATAAACATGAAATCTGATTTTAAAGTCAACACCAGTCTAAAATCTATTAGACTAAATGATTTCTTTGATATTCTATATGAAGAGCATTAAAATACATCCTCTACTAAATACAACTCTTTAGAAAGCTAAATCAGGTCCCAGAGTCTGTCATTCCATTCACCAGCTCCTGGCTCTTTGTTACCCCCAGCGAGAATCTTGTACCAACAACTGTTACTAGAGGGAATGTGTCATGCATGTCAATGGCCTAGAGTGGAAAGGTCAGTACAGAATTGAGAGGCATTTTTCTTTTCCTGGGCACTTCAGACCACTCTTAATGTACATATGCTATTGTAATCTGCAAAACACTCCATGTCTTTTACTTCTTTTTGATTCCTTGTATTTTTCCTGACTCTTCCTTTCATTTTTCTCTCATTGGCAAAAACACACTCTCACCTTCTTCTCTCCAATCCTAAAGAGAGTGAGACAGAGATACACAGGATTCTACCTCATCACTTCTATTTGCTTCAGTTACTTACCTTCCACGCTATACTATCAAAACAAACACCAATGGATACAGCTGTGTTCTATTCCTAACTGTATAGTGACTTCTAACTATAATGTAGATTTCAAAGGGAATACACAAATAACCACAGATCCCAAACGTAGTTCAGTTTCAGGGGGTGATGGGTAGGGACGAAGGCCTTATTAATAAAACCCATTACATTTCAAATTCCGAATTCAGGACTGAAAACTCCCATGCTCTTTCCCATTTAAATAATCTCTTCTTGTGTCTCTCAATTGTTAATGGAACAGTCATGAAACTATTCATTGCTACGTTCTGCTGAATGAATAGGGTAAACCTTCCGAACTGTGTCATTTAATCTTTGTACTCTCAGCACCTCAGGAAATGCCTGGCACATAATAGGTGCCCAGTAAGCACCTGCTCAAGGGCTGAACACCCCCAATGGTGCGGCTACTCTGCTAGTTTCAATGGCTACAGAGATCCTCTGTGGGACCAGGGCTCCTTGGCCGCACTAGGCAGGCTAAAGGCTATAAAGGTGGGAAAGGGGACTCAGATCAGTTTCCTACTATTACCAAAGAGATTCCTATCTGTGCCCTGGCATCCACCACTACAGAGCCATGGGACTCATTTGCCTGGAGCAGTCCCAGGTTCTGTCCTTTGTGCTGGAATCATTATTTCTTCCTCAGAAATATCTCAGTTCGGATGAAAACCCACAGGGTCATTCTTCACTAATCCTCGATGCAGCAGGTTTTCAAATTGTGCTCCGTGGGTTCAATGGTTCAATAAGCAGTGAAATATTTCCCCAACAAACAATAAAGATTTACACTGCCTGCAAATCCCATTCTTATTAAATTTCAGGAAGTTTCATTTGAAAACAATTTTTGATGTGAGAACTGTTTGAAAGCTACTAGCACACCAATATTTAGACATATGGTTCTCATAGTCAGCTTTCTCTATATCAGCTGGAGTCGTCTCTAAAACTGAAATCGTAGAACCACAGGAGAAAGCAAAAGCATATAACAAGAGAAAGTATTGAGCAGTTTTCTTTTCTGTCCAAAGTGGCAGTTGAATTGTAAATTTATTGATACTTGGTCACAGCTATTCTCCAGAGGTGAAATCAGCATAAAACTATAATGTAAACTTCAAAAAAGCTGAGGATCACATTAACACATCTCCTTCCCTAGACCCCTATAAACTTTCTAAAATTAAAAAAAAACACATTCTAGACTAATTCTTACTAGTTTGATAAGCCATATGGAAGAATTAGCCCTATAAGCTTTCATTGTGGTGTTTCGAGAAATTATATTGCCACCCAAGTTTATTTTGATCCGTGAATAAGTGTTCCTCAGGAAGTAGTGGTAAGTCCAGGTCTCATATAAAATTTTAAGGCAAAAGTAAAAACTAAACCAACAAAAAAAATACATATAAGGTCCAGTAGTAATCAAAGGAAAGGTTTTCAAATTGGATTTATGATGAGATACAAATGGCAAGGATGTAGCCCTGAAATAAATACTCAAAATTACATTATGAAACGCATGTCATCACTTTTGATGTTCCTAGGGCTGCATACAACAAAACACCAACTCACACTAGCTCAAGTGAAAAAGAAATTTATTGTCTAATCTCACAAGGAGTACAGAGATGGGTGGGCTTGCTCTCAGCACTAGCTTCACCCTCACGCTGTCCATCGGGGCTCCCCTAGCTGCTCCTCTTGTGGACTAAAGGACGTCCAGAAGCAAAGAACCACCTCCTGCTCTGCTTCTCTTAGGACTTGGGGAAATCTTAGCTGGAAGCAGAAGCTTCCAGCAGTCTTCTCTTTCAGCTTTAACATTCAAAACCAGAACCCATTTCCACTTCTAAGCTGGCAAAGGGAACAGGATAACCATAATGCCTGAAAGTAATTATCTAGGGTTGAATGAAAGTTACAAGTCAACCACAACAGCTCCTGCATGATTTGAAAAATCAATTAATTGCCTTAAAGCATACCTTGTTTTTAGTTCTTCGGGCGCATCAGAAAAATTAGGAAATTAAAAGAAAAAAGTCTGCATTTAATAAATATATGATTTTTCTTACAATTTTAATTAAAAATGGAAGAAGTTATATAGTAAGTAACATGAGCACTTTAAGTCAACCATTCATAGCAAACTTGAGTATCTGACACAGTTACCTTAATCCAATTATTAGCTTACTTCTTTCACCCGCTACCCTACTATACTTGAGAGCAATGTGAAATAAACATATTTTCTTCCCATCTGTATGTAGCAGTTTAAAACTTACTAAATTGCATACGGTATTCATTCACTCAGCAACAATTTAGCACCTACTAATGCAAGGCACTGTTTTACAGAAAATGAACACTGAAAAGCCCTACTTCTCATAGGGAGGGAAGAATTTTAAAAAATAAGAAACCTGAAATGTTTAAAGTATATTGAATGGGGAAGATATGGGACAGGGAGTGCCAGGCCATCAGGGAAAGAGGAGAGGCTATCTACCGTGAATTGATGAGGAAGGGTCTCATTGATAAAATGTAAACAGATTCCTGAAGGAAACCAGGGATGTGGCCCTGTGACTTGGGCTGGGGAAGAATGTTCCAGGGAGGCTCTAGACCAGCAAGTACAAATTCCTCAGCTGGTCTGGGGTGAGGGGGAGAGCAAAGTGCTGGGAGCGAGGAAGAGCCACTTGGCCAGTGCAGCTAGAGAAAAGGAGCAAGGGCATGAGAATCAGAAAGGTCCTGGGGTCACCAGATCATGGAGCTATTCATTCTGACTGAAAATAAAGGATTCATTTTTCCTAAGAGTTCCATACAAACCAGTTCCTCAACAAAATCTGGGAAACTAAGAACGGCAAATAGGACTTCATAGACTAAGCCCATAAAAGCTAAGACGTTTTTAAAAACTGGTTTATCAATCTTTGGCTTACTGACTCAGTAGCGTAGAGATTGAAAATTTTATTTTTTTTTTTTAAGATTTTATTTACTTATTTGACAGAGAGAGACAGAGCGAGAAAGGGAACACGAGCAGGGGGAGTGGCAGAGGGAGAAGCAGGCTTCCTGCCGAGCAGGGAGCCCGATGCGGGGCTCAATCCCAGGACCCTGGGATCATGACCTGAGCCGAAGGCAGACGCTTAACGACTGAGCCACCCATCTTAGGTTACTCCAGCGGCTGTGATTCAAAGGGGAAGAGCTCAGGACTGCTACTGCTTCAAATGCAAGTAGTCTAACAGTATAAATCAATATACCCCAAGAATAACCCTAATAGCTACATGATCTTGAGAAATATTCTGGAAAATCAATAAACCAGAAAGACGCACATACTGATTGACCATGCTAACGTCATTGTGGCTCCTTGCTCGTATAATCAGCCAATACAGATCTTAGCAGGTATCCCAACTGCAGCCCTGTCAAAATTCTGCCAGAAACTAAAAGAGCTGCCCCATGATACACAATAAGAGCCATTCCAGATTCAAAGCGTCTTCGCACGACCCAAGATCAACAGACAGACTGCAGGAACAGGATGACCTAAATCTCAAAAGAATAAAACTGCCAAAAGGGTTCCTAAGAGCTTGGGTTTCAGGACCCCTGAAGGGTCTCCACCAAGACTGGAACGCAGTGGGCTCGCTGGAACATCTGCAACACGAGACGGCGTACAGGGGCTCAGGTTCATGAACCAAGAGGGCTGCTGCTGAATTCCATCTGATTCCCATCTTGAGTGCATTACCACTGATTCAGCTAGGCTTTCCGCAAGTATGAACAGGGATAAAACTCTCACCTTAGAAGGGTTTCAAGAATTCAATGAGAGAATTTAAACCCAGCAAACATACACCCATGTTTTCCCCACAAATTAATCTTTCCCTTCGTTTCTTCTAAAAGAGCCGAATTT